TTACAGAAGGCATCAAGACAAGACTACAAGGCACAAGATAATGTCCAGGTTTCACTACCATATAGCAAAACTGGCATTATCAGGGCCTTGAAAACTCATAGCTTGGTCCTTCTGGACATGTACTTCTGAACTCCTGTCGAGAGAGTTCATGACCCCTGCTGCCAATCCGTCTGTTGAATTCCTGGTCTGACAGCCCAGAGTTGTGAACTACACTACCAAGGTATGTAAAGCTCTCTGTGACTTCAATGTCCTCACCACAAGCATGTACCAAGTGAATAGGTTCTCCTAGCAAGTCTCCAAAGTCCTGGATCTTGGTTTTGGTCCAGGAGACCTCTAGGCCCAAGGGCTTCGCTTCATTACCAAATGCATCAAGAGCCACCACTAAGGATTCCAAGGACTCAGGTAGAATGGCAACATCAGCAAAGTCAAGGTCGGTAACCTTGATATTGCCCAGAGTTGCTCCACATTGGCTTTGAACAGTAGCTCTGCCCAGTATCCAGTCCATGCAAGTGTTGAAAAGTGTTGGTGCAAGAACACAGCTTTACCTCACTCCTCAACCAGTATACAGACTTGTTATTAGTCCAATAATCCGTGTTGGAATTCCTCTCAGTCTCAGGATTTCCCAGAGTGATTCCAGATGCACCGTATCAAACGCCTTCTTGAGATCGATGTAGGCTGCAAGCAGCCCACACCCGAACTCCCGACGGCACTCTACAATGACTCGAAGCGCAAGGATACGGTCAATTGTGGACTTACCAGGAGTGAATCCAGATTGTTCCAGCCTCTGATGCCTCAGTAGGTGGTCTCTCATACGTCTTGGAAGGATTTGAGCAAGAACCTTGCCTGGTATACTGAGCAGTGTGATGCCTCGATGGTTGCTGCAGTTCCATAGGTCCCCCTCAATAGGTCCGGGGGAATGGTACTGCACCGCCAGATGGCAGCCAGAACAGCATGCAACCCACGCGCCATAGGTTCCCCACCAGCCTTTAACAGTTAAGCTGGGATGCCGCAAATACCCGCTGCTTTGCCACTCTTCAGCTTGGAGATCGCCCCACTAACTTCAGTTAGAGAGGGTGGATCCTCACTGATGGGTGGGTTCGGCAACGGAATCACGGCACTACCCGCATCCAAGTTGGTGGGTCAACCCGGTACAGCTGCTCAAAATACTCAGCCCAACGCACCCGCACCGCAACAGGATCTGAGACGATCTGGCCACTTACTAAGTAAACTGCTGTCACGTGAGAAGAGGGCTTGGAGTTCAGCTTTCTCAGGGCTTGGTATGCAGGACGAAAGTCATTTACTAAGAAATGGCCTTCTACCTCCTCTGCAAGACTCCTAATAAACTGTTCCTTGTCCGTTCTTTTCAGTGACCGAGTTCTGCGCACCTGAGAACGGTGCATGTATGTATGTATATATATATATATATATATATATATATATATATATATATATATATATATATATATATATATATATATATATATATGTATATATATATATATATATATATATGTATATATATATATATATATATATATATATATATATATATATATATATATATATATATATGTATATATATATATGTATATGTATATATATATATATATATATATATATATATATATATATATATATACATAAGTATATATACTAGATATACATCTGGCAATGAGTAAGAGAGGTGTCGTGGTTAGGTCAGTAACAATAAGTGCTAAGAAACACGAGTCAGAAGTGACCTGTGATAGGGCCAAAGATTGTTCAAGTCTATGCTCCAACCTGCATCCACAGTGATGAAGAGATAGAGAGAGCTTCTATGAAGACGTTCATTTAGCGAGAG